AAGAAGCAGTTCTCCTAGATCCAAATCCTTAGAGTCATGCATCAAGAACATAAGGCATTCAAAGGTGTAAATCAATTCGCGGTCTTGATTTTGGTCTCCAACTCTGAGTTTTCCAGGTATGTGATCTTTCAATTGCTTTTATTTATGTATTTTTTTTATTTTTTATTTTTTTGCTCTATTATTTAGTTTTTTGGTCATTTCTTTATTTTTTTAGATTTAATTAAGAATTAGAAGGTTTTCAAGGTCTTATAAATGGATTTTCGAGTTGGCCCTACCAATAGGTTTAGAGGAGAACCGGATCTGCAAAGATCAACGATGCCCATAAGCCTATAATTTGAGCGACCCCATTCTCTCTATTGATTTTAAAAGTACGTTGTTTCACAAGAGATTTGAGTCGGTTGTGATCATAGACCCATCCAAATTAGAGTGTGAACAGTTTGGCTCCCACCATGGGGCCCTCGAGCTTCAGATCCGCCCATTTAAATCATAAAAAGCTTTATGTAAATTTAGTTTTCCAAAAAAAAAAAAAAAATAGAGAATTACAAAAGCTAGAACATGCCAGAAATTCACCAGAAAGACGCTGAAATTCGATCTGAATCGAGTCGGGTAGGCCTAGCACAAGTCGACTTGACTTGCATGGTAAGAAATTGCCGAAATTTTTTTGATAGTCTTGTTTCGGCCCTCCGTAGTTTTTGTACTTTCTGTTTCTTGTTTTCAATGACCAAAAAAATTCCAAAAAATTAAAAAAATATGAGATAGTACCTAGGGTTAGATTTAGACTTTTGTTATTGTTTAGAGTAGATTTGATCTTTTAATCTTACCTATTTGATCTTATCTGCTTAATTTAGAATTCTTGATCTTATATTATTATATTAGATTTCTTTAAGGTCGTTATATATTTGTTCTATCTTTATCTTGCATTAGTAGATTAAGCTGATTGCTGTATGATCAAACCACTTACACTCGCCACTATGTTGGAATTATGTCCTTTTAAGGTCTTAAATTCAGACATTTATAATGACTCTTAACTTTAGTGAAAAAGTGCGACATGACTCTAGGATCTTGGCGCATTGGGACAAAAAATCATGGAACTTCGAGTGAGTCATGATGAGGATTTATATGCATAGGAGGTACCTTGAGAGTTTACCTCTTCGTCGGGGTCGATTGTTATGTTTGTGCTTTATGACTGAGTGATGGGTCAGGGTAATATAATTTATGTGATTATGTAATATGAGCATGATGACAAAATAACTTTGTATGAGGGCACTAGCCTAAATTCCTGACTCTTAGTACCTTCTCGTAGCATGTGCATATAGAGACGTAATGCATGAGAAGCCGCTCTTCCGAGGATCCATTAGTAAGAGGTATGCACATGTGGTAAGGGAGGAACCCCCACACTATGTCTGTGTATGTCCTTTAAAGGGTCCACCTGAAATCTACTTATACTTGGGGATTCAGATCACTCATGGGTTTGACTTTAAGCCATTATCATGAGCTCTTGATTATACAAGATGGGTTATGAGTTTGTTGGGTAATTTCGAGAAGGTAACTTTGGCTTCCGGGTCTAGCCAAGTGGAGGTTACGATTCGTAATTCAACTCTAAAGATCATAATTTCCATACAATCATTTTTATAGAGGCAAGGCTCTAAACAATCAAATTAGAGTGCATATCAAAAATTTCACTAGAAGAAGTCGTTTTGATGCCCAAATATCCTCAAATAGATCATCTCGACATTAAGATGCATGGACATGGGCAAAAATGGATTTCAAGTTTTAGAAATAGTGCTAACTAGTATATGAACAACTAATGCAAAGACAAGTGAGTTTTAAGTGATAATAAGTCTATATAAAATGTCAGCATTGAGCCACCTCTTGTCTTGGTTATTGACGACTTAACTAGACACCTACAAGATGAGGTACTGTGGTGCATGCTATTCTCATATAACATAGTTTTGATGGATGGACTTGAAATGACATCAACACAAAGTTAAAACTTTGAAGTTATGTTCTAGAATCCAAAGTTTTAAATTAACCAGACTAAGACAGTATATGGAATGCAAGTTTAGTTAAGATTGATAGCCAAGAAGTATAAAAAAGACTACACTTTTGATATCTTGGGTCGATAACCCAGAAAATAGAGAAATTGAGGAAAATGTCGCACCCAAAATTAAGCTGGGTGAGTGTAGTGGAGATGTGCAACTGGAATTTTATGTAATCGCCGCATACCAATGAAGCAGAAGGCCAGGTTCTTATGACACTTGTGAGACTAGCTTTGTTCTATGGGATGAAATATTAGGCGGACAAAAAACAATATACCCATAGAATGAGTGTAGCAGATATGAAGATGTTGAAATGGATGAGTGGCAAGACAAGAATGGATAGCATTCGAAAAGAATCCATTCGGGAGAATTTAAGTGTGACACCAATAAGTAATAAGATAAAAGAGAGTAGACTTAGATGGACTGACCATGTGTGGCATTGACCTTGTACAACACCTGTTAGGAGGTAAGAGTTAGTTCAAGTGGAAGGACTGAAATTGAGGGATAGGCCTAAAAGGACTTGGTTGGAAGTAGTCCGAAAAGATATAGGGACTTTTGGACTCACTGAGGGTATGACCTTAAATAAAGCAGAATGGTAGACCAGAATTCGTGTAGCCAACCCAAATTAATTGGGAAAAGGCTATGATAATGATGATGATGGGAAGTGCTATGTTAAAATTAGATGTCATGGTATCTACTTACATTTATTTATGAGAAAATTATATATATCTACTTATATTTATTTACGAATCTTGGTCTACTATTCTACTCTATTCAAGGTCATATCCTCAATGAGGCCAAAAGTCCCTATATCTTTTCGGATTACTTCCAACCAAGTCTTTTTAGGTCTATCCCTTACCCTTTTCAATCATTCCGCTTAAACTAAGTCACACCTCCTAACAAATGTTGTATAAGGTCAGCACCACACATGGCCAGCCCACTTAAGTCTACTCTCTTTTATCTTATTGCTTATTAGTGCCACACCTAAATTCTCCATAATGGATTCATTTCAAATTCTATCCATTCTTATCTTTACACTCATCCATCTCAACATCTTCATCTCCGCTACACTCATTATATGGGTATATTATTTTTTGTCCACCCAATATTTCACCCCATAAAAGAAATCTGGTCTCACAATTATCTAAAAACTTGTCAATCACATAAAGTTCCAGTTGCACATCTCCACTTCACCCACCCAACTGTAATTTTGTGTACGACATCTTCCTCAATCTCTCCATTTTTTTGGGTTATCAACCCAAGATATCGAAGGTGTGGTATTTTTTATTCATCCTGGCAATCAATCTTAACTATTCACTCATCTCTACGTCAATAATTACTAGACTTGCATTCTATATACTCTGTCTTAGTCCTACTAATTTAAAACTTTTGTATTCTCGAACATCCCTTCAAAGTTGTAACTTTGTGTTGATGCCATTTCGAGTCTTATCCATCAAAACTATGTTATTTGCGAATAACATGTGCCATGATACCTCATCCTGTAAGTATCTAGTTAAGTCGTCAATAACTAAGACAAGAGATACGGGCTCAATACCTTTAATGTAGACCTATTGTCACTTAAAACTCACTCGTTTTTGCACTAGTTGTTCGAATACTTGTTAGCACTCCATTATACATTCTCTCACCAAGTCGTTGTAGTGTCTGGAGACTCATTTCTCTTCCAACACCCGTGAAATCAAATCTCGAGGTACTTTACGATAAGCATTCTTCAGATCAATAAAGACCATGTGGAGGTCTTTTCCCTTTGCGCTAAACTTCTCAATTAGTTGCCTAAGTAGGAAATAGCCTCGGTTGTTGACCTTCCTGGCATAAAATGAACTTGGTTTGTAGATACACTTGTTTCATGCCTTAGTCATTGCTTAATCACTCTCTCCTATATATTCATAGTATGACTAAGAAGTTTGATCACTCAATAGTTTGCACAATTCTATATATCTCATTTGTTCTTGTAAATAGGTACCACAATACTTTTCCTTCATCCGTCTCACATTTTCTTTATTCTTAACACCTTGTTGAGCAACTTTGTCAGCCAGTCAATGTCAATCTGCTTTATGCACTTCCAAATCTCTATTGGGATACCATCTCGTCCTAAAGCCTTTTCTGTCTTCATTATTTTCAAAGTTTCTTTCATTTTCGACTTCCTAATCCTACAAATGTATCTATGACTTCCACCCTCATTTATACCAACAGTTTCTTCTACCACTATGTTTCCATTGTATTTGTCATTTAATAATTTTTTATACTAAACTGTCAACCTTTTGTTGACCTTGTCATTGTTCATCAAGACCATTTGATCCTCACTATTAATGCATTTAATATGATTTAGATCACTACATTTTTCTCTCTCTTTTTTGCTAATTTAAAGATATCACAGTTTATTGTATAGATTATCATATGCCTTGAGTTTAGCTTTACTTATTATTTGTTTAGTATTTTTCTTCAAACCCATATCCCCGTGTACCCCATCGTACCAATGCTATCAAATTTGTTTCGCTTCGGCCGAAGAGGCTAAAGCTTTCGGACTTTAGGCACAACCGAAGAGAAGTGAAGCCTGATGCTGTCGCTTCGGTCAGATTCAGACTGTTTCAGGCTGTTTCGGTCAAATTCGGACTGCTTTGAGTATGGTTCGGGTTTGCTTTGGCCAACAAAGAAATAGCTATATAAATATATTTTTTAATTAATTATTTGTATATTTTTATATATAAATACTTAATTTATTTATACTAAATTAAAAAAAAAATCTGAAGTCTTCTCCCGAATCGGCCGAAACACCAAATTGCTTTATTTTTCTCACCTCTACTATCATTCTCTAACTACCATTTAGGTCCCCTCCTGAAAAGGTCCTCTCTTCTCCCATCGTTCCAACCATGAATCAAACATTTCCCAAGAAAAAAAAAAAAAAAAAAAAAATTCCCAAAAGGAAAATGCGGGTTGATTTCCTTTCTTTGTCGGGGATTTCCAACCTTGAGCGAGTCTCTCTTTACTCCGCCGCTGCCAAAATTCGTCCGCTTCCTGGTTCCCCGCTACCAACACGTCCGACACACACACACTCTCTCTCCTCTCCTCAGCACGCGCCCACTCTCTCACTCTTGCTCTACTCCGCTACCCACAACTGCCCAATCCAGTCGCAATTCCCATGCTTTTCAGCTTCCTCTACTCACTCACTCTCCTTACCTCTCTCTCTGTTTTGACTCTTTGCTTACTGGCTCCCTTCTCTCTTTCTCTAAGCTCCTTCCAGACTCCTATTATTCATTTCTCTTTCTCTCAAAGATCTTGGCTGTGCACGTGGTTCTCTTTGTCGGGTTTCTTTCAGGACAACTTGCTTGGTGGATTGGGGTTTTGTGAAAAGCTTCCTGCTCCATTTCATCTCTTCAATTCATGTTACTTCGGAGGAGAAAGAAGGACGAGCAGGTGCCATGTATCTCTCTGAAAAGCAGCAGCCTATCGATTTCTATAAGGCCGAAGAGAGCCGCGAAATGATAATGGAGGCGGTCGCCATAGGCCTTCAACCCCCCTCTGCTCTCCAACAGCATCAACAGCAGCAGGCGGCTCTGATTCTCACAGAGAGCAGCGGAGAAGACCACGAGGTTAAGGCCCCGAAAAAACGAGCGGAGACTTGGATTCAGGAAGAGATTCGAACACTTATTGGTTTGCGTCGAGAAATGGATACCCTTTTCAACACGTCCAAGTCGAACAAGCATTTGTGGGAGCAGATCTCATCGAAGATGAGAGAGAAGGGGTTTGATAGGTCCCCAACTATGTGCACTGATAAGTGGAGGAACCTCCTTAAGGAATACAAGAAGTCACGTCACCATGACAGGGGTGGCTCTGCTAAGGTCTCATACTACAAAGAGCTGGAGGACCTGTTTCGTGAGCGTGCGAGGAACGCTCCTTATAAGAGCCCCCCTTCAAAAGTGGACTCCTACATGCAATTTGCTGACAAAGGTAGAATCTCCCCATTTCTTTTCTTCCTGCTCACCTGGCTCCTCTCTCTTTCTCTCCTTTTTGAGGTTTTTATTGTGATTTTAGTATGATTGCATTTTGGTATCATTTACAATTTCTCAGTGTTGTTGCAGTATTGAATTCTCAAATGTCATTGACATGCTTTTCTCTTGATTGAGTTTTTTGGAATATTGAGTTTTTTGGAATATTTGCTCTTGTCTGTGTGTGCCTGTTATTTTTTAACTAGACTCCTAGTTGTTGAGTTTTGCATCGCTTGGCGTTCGCCTGTTATCTTTTAACTAGACTCCTAGTTGTTGAGTTTTGCTTCGCTTGGCATTCGCCTGTTATCTTTTAACTAGACTCCTAGATGAGTAGTTGTTGAGTTTTGCTTGGCTTGGCATTTGCGAAGAGATTGAGCAAATGCACTTTCTCATCCATCCAAACCAGCTATCCCGAAAACCTATTCTTCCAAAACGATTGTGCAAGAGACCCCATAGCACTATCTTTCTCCACGGCCACCTTAACATCCAAGCCTGACTAGCGGTCCTTAGTTATCAATTCTTAGCATTTGTGTGAGCCAAAGCCACGTTGGATATCTGCCTCTAAAAAAATGCCTTGCAAGGGAAATTGTTCCGTCCCAACGGGGAAGTTGTTGTGTCCCAACATGGTCGATGCTGGTGAGAACTTCTATGAGAAATCAAGGGCAGAAAATGATTACGATAGTTCAGCTGTTACTGTATTTGAGTCTGGTGAGCCTAGGAAGATGCATACAGGAAGGATTTCTCCATAGGAATGATGGCTAGAACATATTGCAGCAGCTGGAAGGGGTAACTCCAACTCAAGCTAGGGTTGCGAAGTCTTGGGTGCATGGGGTCTTTATGGATAACCTCTATAAGGACCTTTAAGATGTTAACAGGACTTGTCGGTTATTGTCATTCATAGGAGGCTGAAGCCAGGGTCCTATTTATGGGCCTTAGATCCCTTAAGGCCCATTGATAGGCCTTAAACTGCTCTTTCCTTCTTGATAGGCCCCTGGATTGTGGAAATTTTGAAAGACTGATTCACTTAACTTTATTAGATGGTAGGAATCGAGCTTGGGGTCGAGTGGTTAGCAATTGACGATTAGCAGCGCTACATCTCAAGTTTGATTCAAAAAAAAAAGAAGAAAGATGGGTTTGTAGAGAGGTATGCTTGAGAGGCAAAGAGGCTCTTATTCCCCATTTCCATGTACACACAGAACCTTGTAGCGAGGTAGGAATTCTCGCTGGATAGGGTGTAAGGGATACTCTCTCTATGTTTGAAGTTTGATGCCTTCCTCTGGACCTTTCTATTTTTATTTAGTTCCTTCTTCTCCATCATTGTTTGTTCTGTTGCTCTTTTTCCCTTCTCGTTCTATTTCTTTTCTTTTTGGTCCATGTTCCTTGGTTGATGCACCGTGCAACTTGACTTTGTCCTTCTACTTACTTGTTCTCTGTTGAAGAAAAAACTTAAGAGGAAGATCAAATTGTTGTTCTGATAGTATGTCCTCCTGGAATGACAACATTTGAATATGCCAAGGCAATTTCTTTAAATATTTATGGCTCGGTAATCTAGTGAGGCTTGATTGAGTCTTATAAGACTTGATAGTGTTTTGGTTTGGTCTTTTAATTGTTTTAAGAGACTTGCTTGAGTCTTGTAAGGCTCAGCCAATATTTATTGAGGTGACTGTTTGGGACTGGGTGGGTCCTGAGCTGCGTCTGAGGATTTGAACATTGATTTTTAAAGAACCTTGCTCCCAATGCACTTGTACAATTTCGGATGTTACGCAAAGTGATTTTCTATTTGTAGATTCTTTTCTTTCTTTGGGCTATTGGCTTACATGAGTTACAACTTAAGGTTTTAAACCCGTTCCACCATTGGATTCAAAGGGCACTGGACTAACTTTGATGCATCTTTACTAGCTTTACTTGTTTTTGTGTTAAAGACATCTGTGTACGTTGATGAGCAGGGCTGAACTTTTGAGGCTGTGCACTATCTTGACTTTTTTGGTACTGGAATTTGGTTTGACACTGTCTGGGAACCTAAGCCTAATATATTGGCATTCTTGTTATTTATAATCATGAATGCTATTATGCTGAATTTTATATTTAGTTTGATTTAGCATGAATCTTTCATGGTACTTGAAATTGGTCGATATGATAAATTATATAAAAGAAACCCAGTAAAATGTGAACGTCTTCTTCTTCAAAAAAAATATTTATTTTTATTGATAATTTAAAAAGTGTTGCTTTCCTTTTATAATGTACACTTAATTTTTCTACGTCATACATGTAGACACATAGATATATATATGCGTGTTAATTAAGGATTGAATATGCAAAAACTTCTGTTTTTTTTATAGATAATTCTCTATGATATTTATGAAATTTTCCCTTCTAGTTTTTGTTTCTTGTTGCAATTAACATTATCCAAAGGTCATGCTTCTTCAGTTGTTCCTCTCAGGATTATGCTCTATTCTATGAAAGAATTAAATTTGCCTTAATAATGTTCCATTAAATTTATGGTGTCGATGTTTAAAGGTAGCCACTATTCTTGTCTTTTCAAAAATGGTTTCAAAGATGAAGCATATATGATAGGTAATATGTTCTTTGTTTCTTGAATGTTATTTTCTTTTTGTTTATTAATATAATTTCCTGTTCTTTTAATTTTCCATTGACGTTTCTTGGGGGAAATTTCTAAAAACTGAGATACTAATATTTCATTCTAAACAATGTCCACGTGGTTAAACATTTGTATTAAATGTTTTCTTCATTTTCTTGCCTGTTCTTTTGCTGTTTAACTAGTCGTTATTCAAAGAGTGTAAATTGTGCACCTTTTGTACATGTCATATCATATTACTTGAATTTTGATTAGATGAATAGATGGTTCTATGTTCATGCAATTCATTTTATTTGCATGATTGATAAAATGGGGACAATGTGGGTCTTCTCAACAATTATTTTTGTAGTTTTCACATGCACATCCAGGTAATTGTGCTCAGTTGCTGTAATAGTCATAGTAACTTCCGAAATGATCTACATAAATATAGGTGCACAAATGTGGTACTCTCTATCATGGATACTAGTGTATGTTTAGACTTGATTGCCTCCATGTTTAGATGTCTAGATGCACCTTCATGCTGATTAACTCTATATTTGCCTCCAGTAGAGCCATCTTGAAGTTTCGCTGTTATCTGGATAGTTTTGAAATAATATGGATTGGGATTGTTATTGATAAGCCATTTTCTAGAAGGTGGTTTCCTTTCAGTTTAGGTCAAGTTATATATGCAAGGTAGTGTCCTTTGTTTGAATGGTTGATCTATCGTGAATTTGAGATCTTAGTGATTCATGATAAGATGTGGCAAAGTTTTACGCTGGTTGCCTACCTAATGCAACCTATAGTTGTTGGGATCGGGAGCGGGAACGGTACCGGGAGTGGGGGATCATCAAATGCTAGAAGATATATATGGTTGGGAATGCCATCTGGAAAATGTACACATTAGGGATCGAAATCTCCAAATGTCAGGGGTCGAGATTCCAACCTTTTGGGGATCTTAATCCCAACCTTTTGGGATCTTGATCTGAACTTTTTGAGGATCTTTCTACCAACCTTCAAGTGTATGATAATGTAAGATTATGTAAACTCTTCAAAGTAGAGATATCATTATTGATAGCAAGCAAGCAATACAACTATATTAAAATTATAGTTGTGCTGCTAGCTGGCTATAAACAAAAAAAATCATTAGTTTGGTTGTTGTCTTGTTCTTTAAAGTTGGGATCGAGATCCCTAACACAAGAATCGGGATCTCTATCACTAGGGGTCGAGATTCCAAAATTTAAAAATTGATATACTTGAGAGATCTGTTCTGGGAGCAACAAAATCGAGATCCTAGAAGGGATTGTCTACCAAAGTAGGAGATCCCGGTAATTATGATGCAACCCACCTCCTTTACCCGGGTTTGGGACGGGTGAAGGGAAAGTTTAAGGTCCTCATCCTTGTTAGACCAATACCAGTGAATTTGAGATACCAAATTAATTATATTTTGAGAGTTTGGTCTTCCATGTTGCAATTGGCATGAATTTTGTCAAATAGGTTTTGCATTTATGTTCTATTTCTCTCCACACTATTAGTTTGGGATTAGCCTTTGACATATTTACATAAAGTTATCTCATTGTTGATCTTTTATTTTTATAGAACAATCTCTTTTTTCCCTTCTAATATTTGTTTTCATCTGAATTGAGTATGATGGTAGTATATATCTGCACTATAAATTCATGCTTCTGGAAAATTAGGATGGAGGAATGTTCCATACACTTTTGAATTTTGGTTGAGATGAGTTTTTAAAACTTGGTGATTTGGCTTTAAGAAGTCCAGTCGTTTCAGGACCCCAGCTAGTCCCCTTTTAAATACCATGGGAGTTGCCAAATCTTACCCTTTTTAAGACCCTATAGGTTTATTTTGCCATAGACTCGACCGAATCTTATTGAGACTCTGCCAAGTAGGTTGGCCGGACTCAAGCTTGGGGCCTTTGCGAGTCCCATTATGAGTCGCGATTATAAACACTGGTTGAGATTTAATATTGTGCATAATATATTATAAGTTAAACTATCTAAAATTGGTGAATGATTCTATAATATGCTCACCTCTCTACTTTTTGACTAATCTGCTTTTCTAATTCTGTGATGTAGGTTTTGAGGATGCTGGTATTCCCTTTGGATCTGTAGAAGGTATACTCTAGTTATTTCAACATTACAAAATGTTGCTCTGTTTTGTTTCAATTAACATTGCAAATTTGCTCCTCTTGCCATGACCTCTTTCATGTTGTTATCTAAATAGAAATGAGATTACTGTGATCATGTGGCCATGATAGGCAGTCTGTCGGTAACAATCCATTTTAATGGGAAATCACTGAAAAAAGAAACAACCAGAGAAGGGAAAGAATGAGAATAGTGAAAATTTGCTGGAAAAGTAAAAAAAGGAATATGGATTTTTAAATTACTTTTAAAAATGATGCAGTTTCAATAACATTCTTTTTCGATTGGGGGGATGATATAGGCACCTTTCCACACGTTGTTATTTCAATGGCCATTATAATGGCAGTTATTTTTGAATATGGCATTTTTTTCCTTTTTCCCGCCTTTGAATTTTAAGGGCTTAAACATGTTATAGTGGCTTTTTACACCATTATGTAATGGTCTTTATTAGAATAAATTTCCGTGATCATTGCTGCGAGACCTTTATGTGCTCCCCGAAGAACTTTTTATGCTTCCCACTGTTACTTTTTTGTAATATAAGATGGCTTTAAGGGGCATTGTTTCCACATGGCACCCATTGTTGTGAACCATGTTTATGATTTTACTGCTGTAGTTAATTGGTTGCATGCTTTTGGTGTTGTTTACTAGCCAAACTTTATCCTTTGCTGTTATTCATTTCGTTCACTTTTTATATATATTTTACATGTAGAGTTACTGAGAAGAAACTTATGTGCAGAAATATGCAGTATTTCAGCAATGACTGATCTGATAAGGGTATTAATTTTCAATATGCACAGTTGTAGAGCAAATATTTTCCATCTAATAATAATATCTACTAAATATGTAAATGGATGTTGAATTCCTCATACACTTTTCTATATATTTGTCATGTATATTGCCAAGGTGAAACTTATGTGTGAGGACATGAAATATTTTACTAATCACTGATCTGATAGGGTATTGATGTGATTATACATAAATCGCATATAAATGGATGTTAATTCCTTTCACATCCAAAACATTGCAGCTCGTCGTCTAGTGATCAAATGAGGGAGGCAGATTTTGATAAATATTATATTAAAAAATGTAATTATAATTTTTTTTTTTTGCAAAATACTGGCAAACACATCCACAACCTATCTCTAGTTAATTAGTAAGAGTGGGTATGGAGTCATGTTCGTGTGTATGGTTATGTTCACCAACTATCCCTATTCATGAATGTCAATTCTAAAAGTATACCTATCCAAAACCACCTTAAAGTTTGTCTCATATTTGTAAGAAAATCAACCTGAAAATGGGGGATAACAATTGAGTTTTATATTGAAAAGACAATAGGTATGTATTAGGGAAAATTACAAAAAAACCCCAAGACTACACTTTCTATGCAACTTACCCCCAACCCAACTTTTTCTCTCACTTTTTTCCCCAAAATACACTTTCTATGCAAATACCCCCCAACCAAAAAATAAATAAAAAAATACTTAAACTACCCTCCCTTACTTTTTACCTTACCCATGCTTCTCTCTTCTCAATTCCACCAAAATTGGGCTCTGACACTATGTAAGTGCGGTCTGGCAGTGGATCAAGCATTCTGGCATTGTGTAAGTGCGGTCCAGCAGTGGAGCACTCTAGAGTCACAGGGCTCTGGCACTGTGTAAGTGTGGTCCGGGAGTAGAACTTCTGAGTCACTGGGCTCCGGCAGTTGCAAAGGGCGGTCGGGCAATACTCAGTTTCGGTACGGTAATGCGATGGTGCACTCCGGCAATGTGCTACTGGGGTCCAAAAGTCAACGTCAAATATGGCAAAATTGATTTTTGTGTACGGGAAGGGCATTTCTGTCTAAAAAAAATGAACATTTTCCCTTGGGGGGGTATTTGTATAGAAAGTTTGTTTCGGGGAAAAAAGTGAGAAAAAGTTAGGTTGGGGGTAAGTTGCATAGAAAGTGTAGTCTTGGATTTTTTTTGGTAATTTTCCCTATATATTATGGTTTTTACTAGAAAATTAGCTTGGATTTAGAATCTGACTTTGGAAAGTTGTAACTGTTGCAAGTCGTGGCATTGGAAGAAGTTTTCTCAATTGATGAGAACTTCTTGATCTTTCAGATATTGAGGGCTATGTCTCAATTTTTATAAGGAATTATCGTTCATATGCCAAAAGGCATGTATGAAATTGGAATATTTGAACCTACCTTATGTGGACCTTCTTGCACTCATGAATCATGATATATCCAAAACTGTATGTTGCATGCCATTAGCATAAGGTCGATCACACAAGTAATTCCGTGATAGCTTTTTCCTCATGCTGAAATCATTTGAAGGATCCCTACTAGGAGGCCTTCTAGTCCATTTTTTTGGTGTTTCAGTCATTTTCATCAGATATCTCCAAAGAGCCTTGGTGTTTCAGACATTAGTTAGTTCTGTTCATGACGCCTGCATATTTCAACATGCACGAGCACCAAGCACTCTAATTAAGCCCAGAGGCAAAGGAGAGGGGAAATTCAGTTTTCAGAAGGTACAGAGTCAGGAGAGGTAAGAAACGTATCTGTTTTATACACATAATAAACTATGTTAATCGGTGAAGGGTATCCTTTGTACCTCTGCATTGTAAAGATTATTAAATCTGTAATTGTCACATGTGCTCTGTTGATCACCTCCTTATTCATTGCCCATTGACCATCTTATTGGGATTCTTTGCTTGAGCTGGCTTTTGTTTTCAATTGAGTTTTGCCAGATTCAGTAGCTGGACTCTGTGTAGGTTGGGATGCAGTCCCTCTCACTTCTAAGGGCCCTTTGGAAAGCATGTTAGTTGCACTTTGTGGGGTTAGTGGAGGGCATGCAACAATCATATCTTTGCAACTCTCTCTCCTACCTGCAAGTCTCAGCGGAAGTTAGTAGATTGTTGATTTTTTGGTTCCTTTTTCTTCTGATTTTTGTGAAGCTTTTCAGATGGCCTTCTCCAGTGGTTGGAGGCATGTAGTTCTTACAGGGAGTAGGGAGGGCTAGCCTGGTAGGAGGACAAGTGGCAATTTCCACTTGTTGGGCTCGTATTCTGATTGTTTTTCTCTTGGCAACCTGGTCTAGACCGGGTGAGTAGTTTGTTTGAAAGGGTCTAGTGGAGACCTTACCTTATTCTTTTCAGGTCCCCTGGCGGTTTGCAATTCCACTGTTGTCTAAGAAAATCTCTTCCCATATGCCTATCACTTGGTTTGACTCATCCGTGGTCGCTATTGGTGGTTGAAGAGGAAATCTCATACGGACCTGTTTACCAGTTAAACAGATTGGCAATTTAAAGAATTTAAAACATATAGAAAGGGAAAATGGTTTGAGAGGGCTGCAGGCCTTAAACAGTTAGGATCGATTTTAAGATGGCTACTGATATAGATGAATGCAAAATCAGATTTGGATCATTTTCTCTCCAAAGACACTTGGTGTTCCAGACATTAGGTAGTTCTGTTCATGATGCCTACATATTTCAACATGCATGAGCAACCAGCACTCTAATTAAGTCCAGAGGCAAAGGAGAGGGGACATACTGTTTTCAGAAGTTACAGAGTCAGGACAGGTGAGATATATATCTGTTTCATATGCATAACATACTATGTTATTCTGCGAAGGGTATTCTTTGTACCTCTGCATTGCAAAGATTATTAAATCTGTAGTTGTCGCATGTACTCTGTCGATCACCTCCTTATTCATTGCCCCAATAGCCATCTTATTGGGATTCTTTGCTTGAGCTAGCTTTTGTTTTCAATTGAGTTTTGCCAGATTCAGTAGCTGGGCTCTTTGTAGGTTGGGATGCAGTTTCTCTCACTTCTAAGGGCCCTTTGGAAAGCGTGTTAGTTGCACTTTGTGGGGCTAGTGGAGGGCGTGCAACAATCATATCTTAGCCATTATCTTTCCTAGCTGCAAGTCTCAGAGGACGTTAATAGATTGTTGATTTTTTGGTTCCTTTTTCTTCTAATTTCTTTGAACCTTTCTTGATGGCTTTCTCCAGTGGTTGGAGGTATATATAGTTCTTACATGGAGTAGAGCTGTCTAGCCTGGTAGGACGATAAGTGGCAACTTCCACTTGTTGGGCTTGTATTCTGAATGTTTATTCTCTTCGTAACTTGGTCTAGGCTGGGTGAGTGGTTTGTTCGAAATGGTCCAGTGGAGACCTTACATTATCCTTTTCAGGTCCCCAGGCGGTTTGCAATTCTGCTGTTGTCGAAGCAAAATCTCTTCCCGTATGCCTATCACTTGGTTTGACTCATCCGTGGTCGCTATTGGTGGTAGAAGAGGAATCCCATACAGACCTGTTTACCAGTAAAACAAATTGGTCAATTTAAAAAATTTAAAACATTTGGAAAAGGAAAATGGTTTGATAGGGTTGCATCCCTATTAAATTGTTAGGATTGATTTTAAGATTGCTACTGATATAGATTAATTCAAAATCATGTTTGGATCAATATCTCTATTTAAACCTTATTTGAAAATATTATGAAACACTTCACATGCACATAGTCAAATCACATAAGAATCATAAGCATGGATCTACGACTAAAGGCTCCTCGTAACTTTGAACCAAATGGGCAATCTATCATCCACCATTTCATGTTTTATTCTAATCATAAATCATTCGAAAATGAGGAAATATGGTGTATGGAACGAACTCACCAATATGCACCTACTAGGGCTTGTAGAGAATGGACAAATCCAGACCTTTAGAACATCAATAGCTTGCTAATACCTTGCTGGAAATTCTGGAGCATAGAGAAATTAATAGCAATTTACATAGAGCAAGTAATAGAGAGGTGACATGAATAAGATGGCTTCACAATAGATAATTAGGGTGTCCCTTGCATGACTATAGATGCATCCTTGGGCTCAAGGCACCTCTAAATGCTTAGTGAGAGAGAGAGGGAAGAAGGATGTTGAGGGAGAATGCGAGGTGCATCACACCAACCCTACTTCAACAGTTGGAAAGAATATGTG